AATTTTATTATTAATTTAAATAATATAAATTTCAAAATTTTGGTTTTTGAATAAATCTTATACAGATTATATTTTCTCTATTTTCTCTATTGTTTGTAACAACTAATTTAAGTGGCTGTTGATTTTTTCTATTGGTAATTTAAAAACAAGCTAAAAATGTTTTTTCTCTATTTTGTATGAGAGTTTTTTTTCATTTGTTTATTTATAAATAAAAAATTCATTAAATTTATCACTAATTTTTTTTCTTCTTGAAAAAAAGCTTTTACTTTTTAAACCTATTTTTAAAAAACTAAAAATAAAATAAGATTAGAAAAAATAATTTTCTAACTAACAATTTCAAATGCATATTATACATTTGAGTTAATTGTGATAATACAAAATCCTATAAAAAAATGTGAAGATAAAAAAATATTGAATAAATACAAGTGTATTGAAAATTTAATGATTGACAATCACAAGAACAAATTTATTGACATGACAAAAAAAAATTTTCAGTTAAAATTAATCATTTAATGATTTTAATTGATCAAATTCAATTAATAGATTTGTATTTTATTAATTATAGAAGTTGATTGTTTTGATAGATAATGATACTACGCAAAAGTTACTTTTTAAAATTAAAAAAATTATATACAAATAATAATTTGATTGACTATGAAAAATCAAATTGATTAATATGTAAAAAATTTTAAATAAAATTTTATTATTAATCTACATAATATAAATTTCAAAATTTTGGTTTTTGAATAAATCTTATACAAATTATATTTTCTCTATTTTCTCTATTATTTGTAACAACTAATTTAATTGGCTGTTAAATTTTTCTATTGGTAATTTAAAAACAAGTTAAAATGTTTTTTTCTCTATTTTTTATGAGAGTGTTTTTTCATCTCTTTATTTATAAATAACAAATTCATTAAATTTATCACTAATGTTTTTTCTTCTTGAAAAAAAGCTTTTACTTTTTAAACCTATTTTTAAAAAAATAAAAATAAAATAAAATTAGAAAAAATAATTTTCTAACTAACAATTTTAAATTCATATTATACATTTGAGTTAATTGTGATAATACAAAATCCTATAAAAAAATTTGAAGATAAAAAAATATTGAATAAATACAAGTGTATTGAAAATTTAATGATTGACAATCACAAGAATAAATTTATTGACATGAAAAAAAATTTCAGTTAAAATTTATCATTTGATGATTTTAATTGATCAAATTCAATCAATAGATTTGTATTTTATTAATTATAGAAGTTGATTATTTTGGTGGATAATGATACTACACAAAAGTTACTTTTTAAAATTGAAAAAAATTATATACAAATAATAATTTGATTTGACTATGAAAAATCAAAGTGGTTAATATGTAAAAATTTTAAATAGAAAGAATCTCTCTTGAAAAATGAAAGAAAAATATTTTTAATATTTTTAATTAATAGCAGAAAAAATTAACAATAAAAAAACTAATGATCATCTTGATTGATTGCTACAAATAACAAAAAAAAATATGATATAAATAAAATTTGCCCAAAAATTAATATTTTGGGATTCAAATTATGTAAATTGATAAAAAAATCCTAAAATTGTCATATTGTAATAGATCGAGAACAATGTTTGCCATTAAACCATTTGTTTTGTCTCTTTTTCTTCACCATCCAAATTAAAACCTAGCTAGAGTACTTAATATTTACGATAAAGCTAACAAGTGTCCTTTATAGAATAGTTAAAGAGGTTTATTATTGTCCATTGTTATGGAAAATAAAATATGATAATCGTGATCCAATCTCACACATGTTGTAGTTGTGTGAGCTATATATATAACTTTTTTATGTGTTCAACTATATAAAATATAAAGTTTTAACAATATATATCTATTAATAGTAATAAGATAATGTCAAATAATATAAAAAAATTATTTAATTTTTTTTATAAAAAATCTACTTTATAGGAATAAAAATAAAGAGTCTCTGATTGGTATTTTATAAAATACTAATAAGAAAAACAAATTGACTTCAATAAATAAAAACATCACGCACAAAACAATTATGTAAAGGACATGCAAAAAAAATTAAATAAAATCAAAAGAAAATCTAAAGAAGTTGAGCAATATAATATTGCTAATTAAATGTTCGTTGATAAAATCATGCATTTTATTATAACACTTATATAACAACTCGTCAATTAAAATAATAATATAATAGCTTGAATATTGCATGGTCATAATTTTCACTATTTGTTTTTTATCTCTAGTTTGTTTAAATTGTTATGATCAAACTTCTTAGATATTTCTAGTAAAAAAAAAAAGAAATATTATATTGAGATAAATGAATAGACCTAAAAACTCTGTTTTAACTTGATACAACACAAAATAGTGAAAATTTTATATACATGCAAAATGATAAACTTTAATGACCAAAACAAAATAAAAATCATATAATACAGACAAAAAAATATATAAAAAATTCACTCAAAGCCAAAAAGGACATAAGAACGGACAAAAACCCATTATGCATGAAGAAGGAGCAAAAATCACGCACAACCAAACTTCAATAATAAAAACAAAGTAAGGATCATATAACAAGGATCAAAGAATAATAATAATAATAATAATAATAAGTTAAAAGCCAAAAAAAGGGCTTAGTAACAATAAAATTTTAGAGATTACAATATCTATATCTAGAAATAAAAATCTGAGTTTAGTCTTTTTAAGGTCTTTGATTTTGTTATTCTTCCATATTCACATTGATATCAAAACTTATAAAATCTTTTTCACTAATACACTCTTAAATATAACTAATGTCTCTAAAAAAAAATAAAAAAAATCAGATTATTTATTTGCAGAACAGAAAAAATTATTTAGACAAATAGACATGTTAATTTACTCCAATAACGTATTAGAATCAAATCAAAGATCTTATTTTCAATCACTCAATAAAAAAACAACAACAATAAATAAACAGAAAAACAATTATTTTAGACTTTGAAGGATCAGGACCAAACAAAAAGATAATATAAGGACTGAAGCAAAAAAAATAAAAATAAAATAAAACATTGTAGCATACCTGACCAAAAATCCTATGATCTAAACTCCAATGATCAAAATAGAGATAAGATCTCATATTAAAGACCAAAACTAACAAATTATTCACAAAAAGCTAAAAAAGAAGCTCAGCTCTGAGTAAATATTTGATAAAAAAATTAGCACAATAGTGGCGTAAAAATGAATATGCGGATGGAACTTGATTGTAATCCAACAATGCAAGGAAAAAAAAAAAAAAAGAGAAAAAGAAGAAGAAGAAGAAGAAAGGAGTGAGAGAGAGAAAAAGACAGAAAGAGACCAATCAAAACAAAAAAGGAAGAACACTGAGGTTGCAATTGAAAATTTTCAAATTCATTCTGCATAGAGTAAGGATAAAAATTATATCAACATAAGAACTTAAAAAATAGCTTTCATGAAAAGCCAAAATCTTTTTTTATTAATACTCCCTATCGTTTCACCGTTTACGCTGTTATTAATATCAACGTTGATTATTGCCATTTTTTTTCAATGATTATTGTCTACTTAATTTAGGAGTATTTGTTTATAGCTATGATGGTAACATGGTCCGCCAAATTTTTACGAATTTCAACACATCCAATTTAATTCTCCTCCTTATATGATGTTTCAAGAATTTTTTTTAATCAATAAGAACATTAATGTTCGTGAATAGAATCATGCCACATTATCTATGTTTAACTGATTATATTTGACTTAGATAATTTTTTTGTTTTTTTTTAGATCAACTCATTTTAACTTGTAAATAAAGGTTACATGAAGTAACAATTAGGTTTTTTTTTGTAAGCGATCCTATGTTGAATTCACTAAGTCAATCTTCTTATACATAAGAAGATTTACCTAGTGAATTCAATATAGGATATGAATTCTATATTGAATTCATCAAATCAATCTTCTTAATATATTATATAGACAAGATATAAGACACTATTCCCATCAAAATACTCGTATACGTCTTTGTGCGGTAATCTTGTGTTGGACAAGACCTATCCCGAAAACAAGAAAAATAATGGGATTAACATATAATAAAATTAATTTTAATAGATAAATTGAGCATTTATGATATTTGTTTGAAACTTTGAAATGGTGTTTCTTTTTTTTTTCAAAATAAAATGATGAATACATAAAAGATATAATTTATGAAAATAAATCATAACAATATTTCTTATATTAAAAAATTAATTCAAGGTGAAAACCGAATAAAAAAATCAAAATTTTTGGTTCCAAAAACCGAAAACCAAATAACCCTTCGTTTGGATTTTTTTATTTTATTTTATATATTTTATTAATTCGGTTAATAAAAAACCAAACCGAATTTATCGAAACCAAAACCAAATAAAGGAACACTCACCTTACTATGTAGCAACTAATGTGGAAATTTTACAAGCGTGGACACTGTATCCAATTTTACTAAAACTTCAGAGAAGGAAGAAAAGAAAAAAAGACCCTATCTTTTGCTCTTATGAAAAATTTCTCATTAACAAAATCTCACCTTCTTCATTAACATGCCTTAACCTCTACTGATACCGCAGCCATAAAGATTTGAATTAAATTAAAATTCGTTGCTGCAGGGATCTAATTCAGACTGATACTTTTAGGCACATGCTAATCAATAATTCATGAAGCAAGGAAGTAGAACTATGCTGCTTCATTGATAATTGTCATTTAACAATTAACAGTCATGTCAAAGCTTCAGGTGTTTTGAAAAAGAAAGTGCGGGTGGGTGAAGGAAACTAATTAAACTCTTTAATAACAAAGCATTCCTAATTGTTTTAACAACAAAGACCCAAACCAGATGATTATTCCTCTTCAATCAACCAGTCAAGGCACTGCAAAATGCCTCTCGGGAAACAAAGAAAAGTCCTCTCATCCAAGTTACATTACATTATTTTTCCAATACTATCGAGGAAGTAATTATTTGTAGCACAGATTATTGATTTTACAGAAATCCCTTCTCCTGGAAACTCTTGATGCAGTCGTCAAACATTTTTTCAAGTGTTTTGAAAGGAGGGAACCCTAAAGTTGCAATCTTACTGGTGTCCATGCTATGCGGATTGTTGTCTCCTTTCTGGCTGCTACACCTGCAAATACACAATCGATTAGATCAGGGGAAGGAAGATCGCCGAATGTTGAGCAGAAATCTACGTGGGGTTGTTGATGTAACACTAAAGAAGAAGTAGATTAACTGCATCGTGTTTGACCATCAATGATTAGACAGCCTAGTATTCTGGCCGATACATATTGATTGACTCACTTGTTTTCATATGGATAGGTTGGATATTTGGCCTTGAGCATCTCAATGATCTCTGACCAGTGAGCTACTGAGCTTGAACATATTAGCCTGCCAGATGCTTCCTTGTTCTCCATCGCTAAAATGTGAGCAGCAACCACGTCATCTATATGCACGAATCCAATCGTCATGTTTGGATATTCGCCTCGCAAACCTAAGAAAAAGGCGGTGCAAGGTTTATCAGAAAAAAGAAGAAACAGAGCAATGAATAGGTGTGGTATTTGAAGTGGCATCTAATCACGCATTTTCTCTTAACTTGGACATAATGTCAACGAATTTTTTTTTTTTTTTAAATTATCCTGGGCTGGGAGAGGTCGTTTATGCAAGGTGCCCTGTTTCTGCAGATGGGATCTTTATTCAAAGGAGCCAGTTGCTATAGACAGAAAAATATTGCAAAAGTTTTCGTTTTGTAATTAACATTTTGGAGGTACATTTCGTCAATGTATTAGAGCTAAGACTTGTATTAGGTCTTGCTTCAATAACAAATGAAGTTCCACAACATGTATACAAGTGATCTTGTTCATTGATTTGCAGCCTTCGCAAAATAATGAGCAAGATCCTTTATACTCCTATATATGGGGTGGTGTGGCATTTAACATTATATAGCATGCACAGGAAAAAGCAAACCTTTAACGATGGCCAGTATAAAGAGCAGTGTACTGGTTGGTTGTGGTGCAAGCAGTGGACCAACTACAAAGGAGGGATTCACCACTACAAGATCAATACCACTTTCCTTTGTGGTTCTCCAAGCCTCTTTCTCCCCTATAGTTTTTGCATATGCGTACCAAAACTACAAGCAAGAAAGAACTCATTAGAAAACCAGCTATTGGGGAGAGGATGGATTTGGAGTTGGAGGTGGGATGGGTACTGAGAAATAAAGGATGGGATTTAATCCTTTCTCGTTGATAATTTTCATTCCTTCCATTTTAAATATATTAATTGTTATCCTTCTCTCCATTATTAGCCAAATAACTCTATCCATTCTACATCTAATCCATATGTAGAGATGTCAATGGTTAATCATGGTTACAGTTTTAAGTTAACCATAACCATAACCACAATCAAAATAAAAACCAACAACCACTGATCCAAATACACCCTTATTATTGAAAAAAAAAAAATAAAAACCAATAACCATAACTATAACTATAGTCCATTATCTATTCAGTTAATCATTAGTTTTATTTAAAAAAAAAAACCAAAGTGAATAGAATAATCACATATAAAAAATAGCATTAATAATAGAAATATATAATAATAATAACAACCAAATAGATTTTGCACCTATTCTTAAACCACAAAAAAGAAAAAGAAAAAAATCATTTATAAATAATAATAACCATATAAGGTTTTTCAACATGAAACAAGTCCACATCTTATGATAAAACGTTTAAAAATAAGCATTCTTAAACCATGACATGAATTATTAATTATCTATAAGCAATGACATATTTATAATTTTTAATACTTAATACAAAAAAAAAAAAAAACAAATATTACGATTTCAATTCGATTATGGTTAAGTTATCCTAAAAACGATAACCATAGCCGAATTATAACCATTTTTTAAATTAATAAAATTTCAGCATTTGGTTCAATTCAGGACATTAACTATATTATCATTGTCATCCCTGTCCAGACCCTTTGTCACCCTTAAATCGATGAATTACATCATATGTATTTGTTTATATGTTTTTGAGGATGCAAAGCAGAAAATGTTACTACATTGTAGCGTTTGCAATATTCGGGATCGCTCCAATGTGACTCGCTAAGAGGAGAAACTTGCTGGACATCATCACGGTATCTTATTGAAGAGCAGGAAGAGGTGAGGACAACTCGTTTCACGCTAGTCGCTTTCGAGCAGGAATTTAGCACATTCAAGGTGCCATTAATACATGGATCTATCAATGTTGCCTGCAAAATTGTTACATATAAAGAAAAGAAAATCAGTCAACATCACTATGGTACATCAAAATGTATACCAAGATACCTTAATTACATAAATAAGGATTAATCAAAAGCGTTAGCAATTCATTTTGTGGTAAACTATATTTTACCAAACATTGCAAAAGTGTAAACGAGTATATGAGTAGAGGTGGAAGTGCCTGCCTGCCAATGTTAGTACCATGCATCTACCATTACCATCTTTATGATCTGGAAAGGAGAAGCCTTTTACAGATATTTGTCCCCAGATCGAACAAATATGGACAACTAATTTCAATTTTTTTGCTGGTTTAACTCTGAACCTTAGCTCTTCTCGATAGTGCGTATCTTAATTTATTGGGTAGTGACATTCTCTGTCTTTGACATCTCCGTAATTTGGGGTGATGATTTTATCACACCCTTTAGTTTATATCGGCACGCCTCAATATGGAACACCCCATCAAAAGCTGGGTAGAGTTAACTAAAGAGGTGGAAATAGGGAAATTTACCTGAATATTATCATCAGAAGGAACAAGCACCGGTGATGCAGTGTGGAAGACCCCATCAACACCTTGTATAGCCTCATCAAAGCTGCCTTCTTCCAGCAAATCAGCTCTAAAAATCTTCAGTCTCTCCTTGGCTCCATTAAGCTCCCCAAGAAAACCAACCTTTCCAATATCGCCTGGGAAACAAACAATTTACAACCAACAAAGAAAAAATTGGAATTTATTATACAGCAGTACTCTTTTTTATAGTTTTCCATTAATTAAAGAAATTGAGAAAACGTGGTAAGAAAATCATTTTGAAAAATTACTTCCAACTGCGTTGCCAACGTACATCACATCCAATTACGATTAGTACCTGGGTCACGCACTGTGGTCCGTACAGTGTATCCTTTATCAAGCAAGGACTTGACCAAGTAGGCCGCTATAAACCCAGTTCCACCTGTTACACAGTATTCCGGCATTTCCTCCTTCGGTAACTTGCTGCTTAACAAGGCAGATTGTAACGTACCGATATTTATAAAGTGCTTGCTAGCGTGTAATATATTTTCAACTTTTTTTATGTTGTGTTTAAGTGACACTTGGGTGGAGAAGCGTGTGGGTAGATGATTCATTCATTTCATAAAGTAGGTTTTTTCATATTTTTAATTTTTTAAAAATTATTTTCTCAACCTACTGCTTCGCAAGTTGTTGGATTAGAATTTCAGAACTGTTCCTACCGAGCCTGGCGAGATCAATCTGAGCCTATTTTTTCTTGGTTCTGGGCTTCTGCCCTAATCTAGCTGTTCAGGCCTTAACCTAGGTCCAGATTATGGCCCGTACTTCTAAACAATTTTCTTCTTTTTCTTTCTTTCTTTTTTTTTTTTTTCCAAAAAGTTTATGGCTTTTATTAATTTCCAACTGATGGACCTCATTCAATTCTGAAATTGTCCCACATGATCAACCATTCTAATGAAAAGACCTATCAGTAGAAGCCCTCCATCCTTTTCAATGCTCTCTTTTGATGTTATACTTTACTATTTTAATCTGCAGACAGAACAACTAAGATGCGTTTTTTTTCCTTTTCTTTTCACATTACATCCAGCTGATCCAACTATCAAGGGATATAAAACAAAACAAAATTCTGTAGGAATAAAATTAATATTTACTTGTCAAAAAAATATAATGTATTTCTAGCATCATAGTACATTTTGGCTTTCTTTAAAGCTGCTTCATGAATCTCGTGCTACAAGATTGGAGATAGATAGCACTTTAATTCTTATCCTAATTCTCACCTCCCTTTTTTCGATTGAAAATTTCAAATCTTAATTGTTGAGCTATTCTTGTGTGGATTTTAGTGTTTTTTTTGTCAGACCATATTTATTGAATGGATTTATTTATGTTCTGCTTTACATGAAATAGGCAACACGTGTATTTAAATAATGCAAATATTAAATTGAATAAAATCATAAAATAGAACACGTTTAAACATTTGAGATTCAGAAGTAGCATGGCCAATGAATAATATCTGGTGTGATAAAACATAAAAGATAAGGGTTTGAGCCATGGTTCCGGTTAATTTCGGCTAAAATTGGGTGTCATTTGCAGGAGGCCGTATTAAAGGCCCATTAAAAATTATAGCCACTGAGATTTCAATGACTCACTTTCAAAGGTTTGCATCAAAATAATATGATCGATTGTCCTAGAGAGCAAGAGAAGGTTCTAATCTATAAACAAGAATATGATGTATTTGGAAAAAAAAAAATCAATAAAGAAGAGAAGTTGTCTAGCATGCCGAGTTTTATTTGATAGAGGAATTATTTTGTACACCTAGAATATTGTCACCTTCTCCCAATTTTATCTAATACAACAATTGAAGAATTCTCACTATTTTTCTTTTTGTCAAAACACCATCTCACCTAAAAGCTTAAGTCGTTAAGTGAGATTTCGGAATGTGATTTATATTATTCTCTAACACTTTTGCCGAATTTGAATCAATTAATGGTGTCTTGTAAGTCGATCATCGTCAAGACCAACAAGTGTTTAATTGTATTGTCTCGTTCTTATTTGAGATGTTCTTGCTCATGTTTATTGGAGAAGGTATAATAAGGGAAGCATGACTCAAACTTGTTATTGCCTATGTAGCTAGTTCTTGTATATAGGTTCGCTAAATCAAGGTGTAGTCGACACACCTTCGTTATGATAACAAGGATATTCTAACATATACGAGAGCCAAGTCTTTTCCCGATTAGCTAGCGGACCTTAGCAATCCCATGTTTGTAGAAGATGTAGTTGACGCCATTTTTGTAGGTTTTGGGAGTGCCTATCGTCCCTTCATTTGCTCTTTAGATGCCGGGCTTATTGCAATCTCCTATGATGATTTATATGATTTTTGTTAAGTAAGGAGCATCAATTACACATGGAAGTAGCCGTGCATGATATGGTGCCATTCCCTACTACCTAATTTTCCTTGGTGATAGTTTTAATCGTGGTAGAGGTAGAGGATAGAAGGGTCATGGTCATCATGCTTGGGAGCTATTACAATGGTAAATACTCCTCATTTTGTTCGGGGCCTTATTCTTCACACACATCGAGTTATCCTTTTTGGATATTGGTACTTTAACTTGCCATAATTGTATACGACATGGCCATATAGCATGCTAGTGTCCCTTACCAAAACAAAAGAATAAAAGTAGATCATCCTAACATCCCAAAACAACAAGCTATCTTACCTCTACTATCACTTTACCATATCGAGTCATGGGTTGTGGATTCGGGTGTCACTCATCATCTTACGACCAATATTGGAAACTCGGCCTTCTACTCTAATCACACTAGACTTGAGGAGGTCATTATTGGTAATGGTAAAATTCTCCTAATCTCTTATATTGGTCATCCCATTTTTATCAATGATCGAATATTACCTTGAAAAATTTATTATATATTCCTATTACATCTAAGAATTAGCTCTTTTATCAAAGCTAATAACGTATCTATTGAATTCTTTCCTACCTAGTTTATGATTAAGGATATTCACACGAAGGTAGTGCTTCGCGAAGGTAGAGTAAGCATGGTTTATATCATTTGCATTGGACTTGTTTTTCCTCGGGATCTTCGGCTAATGCTTTGACAACCAACTTATATTTTTAGAATAATTTTTTAGGTCATGCCTCAATCAAGATTGTTTGTCGGGTTTTTCGTAATAATAATATTAGATTTCCAAAAAAGACATTAGTTATGTTTGTCATGCTTATAATATTAGCAAAAGTGCAAAGTTACTTTTTTTTGTCTAGATTTCAAGCACAAAAACCCCTTGAATTATTTTGTTCTAATGTTTGGGGACCATCACATGTTGCTTTAGTATCTTGTGCTTGAAATTATGTTTTTTTTTTTTTATTATTTTAGCAAGTACTCTTGGATTTATTTTGTTAAATACAAATTTGAAGTACTTAGTACCTTTATTAAGTTTAAACATGTGATAAAAAAGTATTTTGGTGTGCCTATTAAGTCTTTTCGAGCTGATTAGAGTGGTGAGTATCATTACTTCTACTTGGATGTTTCTACCGATAATATTTATGTCTCTAGGCATGACTTTTTCTTTGAAGATGAATTTTCCTTTGCATCTGCTTAGTCCTAGTTCTCCTAGTTAGCTTTGTCTCTCGCTTTATGAAAGGTATATGTTCCTTTTCGGACAACTACACCATCCTTCTTTCATCTTTCCATAATCTACTTTTCCTTCATACGCTTAGTTTGTTAGAAGGCTTGGTATCCTTTTGTTACTTGTTAGTTCATCTCCAAGCACCCATGATAGCAATTCTTTTTACCCGACCAATGCCATAAGACCTTTTCGCTCCACAAACAACCACTTTAAATATAGACATTAAGTTTGTACGATCTGCTACATATTGTATTGCTACTTCACATTAGCAGTAGCATCGTATGGTTGATAGTCTTGCACTAACCAGTAGTCCCTCACACTCAAGTATAAACATTATTATGGATTTCACTAATTATGCTACAAGTTCTTTAACCAGTTCCTTAATGCTTCGTAAAGGCTCATTTACTCCATTTCTCCCCACCTTACACTCGGCATTAAATGATCATATGATCCAAAATTGGATCCTTAAAGCCTAAGGCTCTTTCTACTATTGTCGTGCCCCTTATGGATCCTCGGATATACACTCAAATGGAAAAATCAAGAGAATGATATCATGCCATGGTAGATGAGGTAAACGCATTACTTTTTAATGACATGTGAATGTTAGTTTTAGCACATCTATCGTAAAATATTATGGGTTACAAGTGGGTCTATCGCACAAAACAAAGGCTCGATGGTAGTCTTGAAAGCCATAAAACTTGACTTCAGGCTAAAGGATTCCATCAATGTCCAAGTGTTGAGTATACAAAAACTTTCACTTCCAGGTGATCAAACTCACTATGGTATATTTAATTTTGACCCTTGTTATTTTAAAAAGTTAGGATGCTACCCAATTGGATGTTTCCAATGCCTTTTTCTATGGAAAACTTGATGAATATGTCTTCATGTCTTAACCTTAAGGCTTTATTAATCCTTACAAACTTGATCATGTTTTTCTTCTTAAGTGTAGTCTATATGGTCCTAAACATGCTCCTCGATCTTGGTTTCGATGTCTTTCTAATGCCTCTTTAGCTCTTGGTTTCATTAGCTCCAAGGTTGATAACTCTCTATTTTATTATAAAAAAGGAGATGTTCTTACTTACCGCTTGATGTATGTTAATGACATGTTACTAACAAGAAGTTGTTTTGTCTTTTTACATTCTATAATTGGTACCTTGAAAAACCAATTTGTCGTAAAAAGCTCGATAAATTGTATTATTTCATTAGCATTGAAGCTACTTACAAGCCACAAGGCTTTCTCATTCCTCAATAAAAATACATCGAGGATCTACTCCATTGGTCCAACATGATGAGATGCAATTCGATAGCCTTTCCAGCATGTCCAAAGCTTAAGCTCACTAGTTCTAGTGGTGACTCTTTCTCCGATCCATCTTTATACGAAGTATAATGGGTGGTCTACAATACCTAATTCTAACTTGTCCCGATGTTTTTTATATTATGAATAAAGTTTTATAATTCATGCATTCTCTAAATAATGATCGGTGAAAAAAATTCAAATGAATCTTGTGATATTTGAATACAATAATAGTACATGGTATTTTTCTATAATGTTTATCATCCTTTTGCACCTCGACTTATAGTGATTTTGATTTTGGGTCGACATTATTAATGATAGAAAGTATACTACGGGTTATGTAATCTTTTTTTATACAAATCTATTTCCTAGAGCTCATGCAAACAATGCACAATGTTTAAGTCTTCCACTAAAGCAAAGTGTAGAGCATTGTTAGCTATGACATCTAAGGTACTTTGGTTGCAATCTTTGCTTAGTGAATTAAACTTCTCTGTTTTTTGCTCTAATTTCTATAGTGTGATAATTTGAGTGTA